AGTTTAGATATTTGTAAAGGTAAACGACCTCAAATTATTAAAAATATTCCACAATGTTATATAAATTTAATGAAAAAGTGTTGGGATAAAGATCCATTAAAAAGGCCAGTTGCATCAGAAATTAAAAAGATTATTAATAATTGGATTAAGAATATTAAAAGTAAAGAATTTGATAAAGAATTTATAAATGATATATTAGAATTTTATAAAGCAGATAAAGCATTGAAACAAAAACAAGATAATAATATATTAAATAATAATATTATTGAATCTCATCCACAAGCATATTATACAAGTCGTTTGCTAAATTTTACTGAACAATTAAAACAAATTTTAATTGAAAATACTGTAAAAATTAAAATTAATGAAAATAGAGGTAATTATTATAATATATATAACTATAAAATTTTAAGATTATTAATTAATATATATTTTAATTTATAGAATCTTTAAATATTATAGAAGATGAAATAAATATGTAATTTAAATTTAATTTTAATATATATTATACATTTATAATATCTTAATTTAGTGAAAATAATTCAAATTTTTTATTTTAATATATTATAATTATAATAATAATTTAATAAATCATAATGCTATATTTCATAAATTTTTATGAATTTAATATTAGTTAAATATTAAAGTTTTTATAATAATGGAATTAATGTATAACTTATTTTTTAGATTTTATATCAGTGGGAATTAATTAGAAATATATATAAACAATTAGTAAAAAAAACTGTATTTGTTTAATATTAATGATAATATTTATTAGTTATAGTAATGATTTATTTTATAAATTAAGAAATAAATATAAAGATATCAAATAATATACAAATAAATCTTACATTAACTTGGAAATATTTGTAATTATGATACAAAAAATGTTATATTTTATTATTTGATAACAAATGACAAATTTATATTAAAATTTATTTATAGTATAACGATAAGTTTTATATATAATGAAAATTTATATCAAAAATTTGTAAAAGTTACTTAATGATAAAAAAGCAATTGTCAGATTCAGTGTAGATGTATTAATCCATATTGAACTAAAGAAGAAATTTGCGTGTAATAATAATATTTATAATAAAATTGATTGATAAAAGTTTTAAAACATTTTAATAATACTATCACTAAAATATTTAATATTAATTAAAACTGAATTTTAAAAATTTTTTGTTTAAGATGGATTTTGTTAAAAAGTATTTTTTGCTTTTGAATAAATTGAAATTTAAAATAATGCTTAAAAATTAGTTATAAGTTTAAAATATAATGCTATCTTAATTCTACTAAAAGAATATGAAAATATTATGGTGAGCATTTATTTGTATTTTTTTACAAAAATTTAATTGAAAAAATCATAATACATTCAACATTTTATAACACATTTACTTTAAATTTTTAGGATATTAATCAAGAAAATAACAATTCAAATATTAATATTCATGTAAATATTGCACAAATATCTTTAAAGTCTCTTATTAATTAAGTTAATAGGAAAAACATTCTTGATATATAACATATTTCTTATCTCACACATAGTTCAAATTCAACCCCGAAATTTGTAATTCTTTCATTTAATCAAGAACATATTTGCATTTTTTTGATGATTTTGAATCACAGATTAGTATGTTGGCACTTTTTTTAGGCTATGATTTATAGTACAAAAGCATAATTTAGCATTACTCTAATTAAAAGGCGATGGTATAAATTAGAAAAATAAATCAATAATTTAATTTATAATAAAGCTGAATCTTATGATAAGTTAAGTATAGCTAAGTATTTATGGATATAAATGGAAATTTTTACATATTGCACAATCACTAACAGTTCTAGATATAAATGAAAAAAAAGACTCAATAGATAAAATCAATATAAAAAATAAAATATAACATTTATATAGTAATTTATTTGGGTTTAGTCATAAAATAGCTTAAATTGCTACTGAAAAATAAAGATTTGATGTTTTAGATATTCTTAATCAAGAATTATATAATACGAATGAAAATACTAATGAATCAAGTTCTAGTAGAATTATAAATTTACATTTAGTTAGATCTAAGGGAAGATCACGTAATAAAAGATTTAAAAGTTCTATTGAAATGTATAAAGATTCTAACAAAAATGATAGTTCTATTCAAGATAATGATAAGCAGAGTAGTTCACAAAATAATAATAGTAAAGGATCAAAAGTATGCAGTAATTATAGTGCTAGTAATCATATATAAGATGATGTATAATACTAAGTAAATCATGTAAAAGAGAAGGTCATACCTATATAAAATGTAAAGGGAGAGAAGTAGTATAATAATTCTAATTAGATTCAATAAATTTTATTTTTTTGATATTACAGTTTTTAGTTTTATGACCCTCGCAAAATTTTTTTTAAAAGCTAATATCTTAAATTCTGATATACTAAAATGAACATATTTCTGAATGCTATTATTCTAAATTCTGATTTTAATGTCATAATTGCCTTCGTTAACAAATAATCGTTAAAATTATTTTACTATTCAATTTATATTAGATAAACAAATTATAAAGGCAAATTTTAGCTAATTTATTCAAAGAATTAATTTTTATTCAAAACAATAAAAAAGTTTCATCTTTTTTTATATTATTTGTTAAAATTTTAATTACGAAATATTAAATTTTTTGACTAATCAAATTCAGTTTTATGGGGATAGCAAAAACTTAGACACCACTCCGAGTAGTATGCAGATAACTCCTTCTTTTAATTAATTGATTTTTCTTTCTATTATGATAAGGCTTATTCTTTTTCAGATTATGATAGCAGATCTGATAAATAAGCCTTTCTTATTTTTCTTATTTTATAAATCAGATTTTTATAATTAAGCCCTCAAAAATTAATAAATAATTCAAATTATTATTTGATTATTTACATTATTATTTTATTTAATAGACTAATCCTTTAGTGATGTAGAAAGTGTGATTATCATCCATTCATTATCTGATTCATTATCCCAATTGATTCAAGTATCTGAGAAAAAAAATTCAAACATGTCAAAAGAAGGGAATCTAAAATTTGATTGCTATATTCTGGTTTACATTATTTTTTACTTATGAAGTACAAGAAAAAAAAATGTCTTTAAATATTTCATTAATTTGATAATTTTTTTTTTGTGATTATCTAACATGATTATCGATGATATCCAGCATCCAAGTTCTATAATAATAATGTAGGTCTTACTTGTGAGGAAAAAAAAGCACTGCAAAAGTTAAAATTGATCAAATAAATTTTGTTACACATAATCTTAATTTGGTTTACCTCAAATTTGTACTTAAAGTAGAATTTAATGAACTTTGAAATGTCAAATGAAATGACATTATAGTTTTTTTTCTGATTTTATCAAATTAATACCAAGATTCAAAACAAAAAATTTTCTCAAATTAGACCTTTTACTTAATTAAAAAGCTTTGAAGATAACCTTTAAGATAAGATGACCATATTTCATAATGAAGTTACATTATGTGACAATAGCATGAGAATACATTTCAGTCTTCTTTACTTTAGCAGTTAGCACATTGCAATGTGATATACGGTCAACTAATTAAATTAAAATATATATGGTTATGTTGATTTTTAACTAGCAAATGATTTTTAACAATATTGATTGATATTATACTTTATAGTAATTCTATATATAGATTAACTATAAAAAATAGACTATTTTTTTTAGATGCTCAGGTCGAATTTCTTTCTTTCTCTAAATTTTTTATTTGTTAATCATTCTTTTCATATTACGACTACAAAATTATGAAATTTTTATTTGCATTAACTAATCAATTCAAAAGAAATTGCATCTAACTCTTAAAATTGAAAAAAAATTTTCAAAACACCATATGGATTGATTGCTAGAAAAATCAGATTCTGGGAATTTTTTAGCAAAATTGAGATTTTTATTGCATTTTAGTTTTTGATGTTATTAGATTAAAATGTATTAAGCTTTTAATTTTAGTCAAAAATTTCTCAGAACCTAATTTTCCTAGAAACACTCTCATATCAAATGTAAGTTTTTACTTTAAATATAAAAAATAGCTTTATAACTTTGTTTTTATAGCTTTAATATTAACCTTTATAAAATTTCATTTTAAAATATTGAACCATTAGAGCTGTGTATCTAATTAAAGTTTAAAAAATAGCAATGGGTATATAAAATCATATAAATGTCACTTTCAGTTAAAGAATTGCAATAAAGTTCGATTGGAAAAGTGTAAAAAATATCAGAGAAATAAAACAATTGATGAAATAAACAAATGCTTTGCTGAAATGGATCAAAATCAATTTGAAATTATTTTAAATACTTTATAGAGTCAATTTCTTAATTTAATTATAAGCAAAAATAATCAACGAGCTAATTTAATTTTAACTATATAGCAATTATCAGAAGAATAGCTTTTATCTGTTTCTCATCTAATCTCAATAATGAGATATCCAAAGAGATATAATAAGGGTAAAATTTATTTGCCATATCTACAAAAATAGACTTATGAATCTATAACTCAAACTTTATATAAACATCAGTCCACATTTGAGTCATTACAAGAATTTAATTCAAAATTAAAACTGATCTCAAAAAGCTTAATAAAATTAATTAAGCCTTAATTAAAAAAACCCAATTACTTGAAGCACAAAATAAACATTTTTGTAATCAAAAATCAAACTATATATCAAAAATTCGCTCTTTAGCTTGATGCTCATGCTAAATTACTGATGTAGAATTTAAAAAACAAATTCAATCTATATTTAAAGATAATGAATAAAACTATACATCTAATACTATTTGACTTGCAACTAGCATATCACAAGTTGACCAAATATTATTATATTCAACAGCAGAATGTATGAAACTAATTTATGAATTTTTAATTGGAGAGCTATCACAAAATCAGCTATCAATTTTAACATTATGTACTTAGCATCAAGATATCTCAGAATTATATATTAAAACTCAAATTTATCAAATTGCCAATGCATCAACGTTTGGAATTATGGTTGATGAATCAATATAAGGTGAAACAAAATATTTTATTATGTGTTAATAATTCTGAAATCAGAAAAATTAGATGTTAGCTGTAATTATGACTCAACTCTAAAATGTTTTAAAAATGTAATGCAGAAATCATATATGATACTATTATTAAAAATATTAAACAAGATAATTTAGATTTTACAAGGTATATACTATGAACAATTGATAATATAGCTTATATATTAGAAATTAAAGGTGATGCAGTTACTCTCTTTAATAAAAAAACAGGATCATATTTATTATAGATTGGTTATGAACTTTATATAATTCAGATTGTGCTTAATAATTTTAAACAAATAGTACTGGAATTTCAAAAAACCATATTCATACAATTTACTTTATCTAGCATAGAAATTATATGATAGATATGACTCAAATGACAAAGACAAACCTCTTAATATAAATGCTCAAATTATTAAAAATCTTTATAAAGAATTATTGGAATCTATTACAATTAATATTAATTACCACTTCATTCTTGATGGGGTTATGAGTTACAAATAGTAAAACAGTACTTAAATTGTCATATTGAATTTATAAATTGATCATTAAAAGATTAGAAAATCTTAAAACTGTTCCTAAATCCTATTTTGAAAATTGGCATCTTTTTACAATCTGATTATTTGATCTGAAATTAAACATTCAAGTTAAATGTTTAGTAAACTTTGCTAAATACTTCTATGAATCACTAGTACAATTTATGGTAAAAAAAGATCCTATTCTATGGTTTTATCAAGATGATCAATTAATTACTTTACCTTCTGGCTAGCATGCTCATTAAATATCAGATAAAATCTTTAAATAACATGAATTTCTTAAAAACCTGACTAATAATTTTGATATATTTTTTTCTGATTAGTTTTCAGAAACTGCAAACTTATTGTCTGATGAGGAATTTGAAATTCTTTTTAATGCTTTAGAATGTGGTATTATAGAGGCCTTAAAATATTTTGAAAAATAGTTATTATAATGGCTTCATTTACCATTAGCAGTTTGTCAGCTTGGTGAGAATAATTCACAGCTATTTGCATCTAGTTTTTATCATGTAATCCTTCAAATCTTTGGATTTCTCTATCTTCATACTAGGAATTACATTTTGCATGGGATCTGGAGAATGATAAAAATAATGGAATGATAAATGATTTTGGATTGTGTGAATTACTATTACATAACAATGATTTTCTTAAGGAATTTAAACAATTTTGTAGTTGTGATGATCCAAAGTTATACAGATTTCCTAATCTTTATGATTTCGTTAAAATCCATATTTATTTCATTATTATCCATCAATAACAGGTAGAAGGACTTTTTAACAAATTAAACAAAACTTCATTTATTATCAAACAAAATTTCAAAAGAAAATCTAACTAATGAATTAAAAGAAATGCGAAATCAAAAAACTAAATAAAGGACTCCCTTTTAAGAAATTCAATTTGGATCTAATATTACGTTAATACTTTTTAAACAGTTTATTGAATAGTTAATAAATTGTAAATTATAAATGTATATACAATGAAAAGTACAGTAAATTAATTTTAAGTAATAATTATTAATAAAATTTGTGAAAAAAAATTTTATAAGCAAAAAAAATTTTCAATAAAAAATTTTTATATAGTATTACATATAGTTTTGATTTAATTAGTTGATCGTACATCCTAACATCGCATGTGCAATGATCTATTAATGCAATTAAGAGTGAAAGTTGAACTCGATAAAATTACAAAAATGGTGTTTTAGATTATAGTGTCTATATATAAAATATTCCTGTTTTAGTAACAGTAGATGAAAGTGTAAAAGCTATTGCAAGTATAAATGCAGAATCATTATTAGTCAAACGAAAATGATTCAAAACAGATCCTGAACAAATGATGTAATTATTGGAATGGGATACCAAAATCTCTAAAAGTAAAGATAACTTAAGAATACTTTTGTATTTGTAAAGATGATATGAAAAAAGCAAAAAAAGATAGTCTTCTACATTGTGCAAATTCTACAAGCACAAGTTAAAATCATTGAGTAAGAAGGAACCATAAGTAGAACAATTTTGCACTGACAATAAAATTATTACTTTTTTTTAAAAACAATAAAAAAAAAATAAAATGCTATGAATAACTTGCTTAATTTTTCAAATGGAGATTCATTATGTCTATAATTAATTTCTATAAACTAAATTA